AGGGGCTTAAGTGGAGAGCAAATGCTTTGAGAATGATGAGGGCAATGAATGTACAAATGTGCTTTACACAATTGATGGATGTATGGATTGTGATAAGTCATATGAGCCCCTAATAAAACGATTAAAAAAACAAACAAAAAAACCACCAACCCGATTGGTTCAGGTCTAACTCGACCCCAGCATGACCTCAGGCTCACTGATAACATCTTCACTCTCAAGTTCCAAACAAGGTCAAGTTTACCAGTGCCAGGGGTTAGGACTTCAATGTACCTTTGTAGTAGACACAGCTCTACCCATAGCAACTCAGGGTTGGGTCCTCACCTAATAGGGCCAGGTGTCTGGGGTCTCTTTCAGTAGTCTCTCCCCACCAGAGGCACACTCAGGCTGGGTCCCAGGGCAGCAGAGGTGTTCCTAGTAGCGAGAAAGGGCGAGGCCTGAGGTCAAGCCTGTATGGTTTCCTGAGCCAACACCAGGACAAGCCCAGAGTCAAGTGGTGGAAATGGCCTGCAGGGCCCAGTGACAGGTGCATTCAGACAGGAAGGGAAGGGTGTTGTGACTATTTTTGCAAACAATTCAGGGTTTTCTCCTCTCAGGAAAAACTTCAATACAGGTTATTTACTTTTTTCCTAGATATTGAATCTTCTGCATTTATAAATCATGTCTATCCCTCCCCTCCTTTTAGTTTTTGAGCAGGTAATACATTCACACTATTAAAACGGACTGCCCTTTGTCTCCCCCAGCTCCCCCCACCCTCCCCATTTTATTATGCAAAATGTCCAGCATGTAGACAAGTTGAAGCGTTTTGCATTGAACACTGCACACTCACTGTATGGAACCTACAAATCCCAGTCTGCTGCCGGCCTTGTCTTACATCCTCTGGTGCGGGTGCATTTCAGGATCAGTTAGCAGGTCTGGATCCTGAACCCTTCTGAAAGGCAGATTGGGCATCAGCAGGGAGTGTGAGGCCAGCCCCGCCCCGCCCCCTGGTGGGGGTCAGTCAGTATCTGTTCAGTGACTGCTGCTCTCTCTGTCCTCCTTGCATGTGACTTCTAGGGTAAGCAGGGCATTTAAAACAAACCATGTAACCGGCTCCTCAGTTTATAAGGTCGACTTCTAGGAGACAAGCCATGAAACACAAGTATTAAGAATTTGGAATGAAATAAAATATATCCCCCCTCCCCCCCAAAAAAACTCAAACAACTCATTGCTATCAAGTCAGTTCTGACTTAGCGACCCTGAAGAACAGCGGTTCTCAAACTGGGGGTCGCAACCCCTTTGGGGATCAAACGAACCTTTCACAGAGGTTGCCCGATTCAAACAGTAGCAACATTACAGTTATGAAGTAGGAACGAAAATAATTTTATGGTTGGGGTCACCACAACATGAGGAACTGTATGAAAGGGTCGCAGCATTAGGGAGGTTGAGAACCACTGACCTAGGACTTTACAGAATCAGAACTACTGCCCGTCTTTACAGAAGCAGAAAAATCTACAATGCCACCAGGGCTGTTTATATGACAGTTATTTTGAGTTTGCAATGAAATAAAATATACAAAGGGGCTTTAAGAAGTTTGTGGGAAATGGAATGAAAAGATAATGGAGTTTTTCCACAAATTTTTGAAGCCCTCAATCATACATACTATTATACGCTTATTAAACATTATAAAATATTACGTGCATGTGTTACATACACACAGAAATGTCCCATAGAACCCACTTCTCTGGGTTAATGCCTGTCTTGGGTATCTAGTGCTGCTGTTGTACCACAAATGGGTGACTTTAACAAACAAATTTATTCTCTCACAGTTTAGGAGGCAAGAAGTTAGAACCAGGCTGAGCTCCGGAGGAACCCTGTCACTGGGGGAAGATTCGCATCTTTGGGCCTGGAAGCCCTTGGAGGTCTCCCTGTGGCTTGGCCTCAATCTTCACCTGAGTCTAGGAGGTTCTCAGCACAGGGCTCCCGGGTCCAAAGGATGCACTCAGATAGTCAGATGCCTTCTCTCTGTTTATCTCTTGTAAGATAACAGGTGATATAGGCCCCACCTTAGGGAAACTCCCCTGATTACCAGGATTGTGTTGTGATACACTCGTAATCCCCTTACAGCTGATTGACTGATCATAGCAATTCACATTACATAACTGCCCAACCAGGTCCAGTCAAGGTGAAACATTGGGGGGGAGGGGGCTGCACACACAATTCTATTCATGACAGTGCTTCAAGGAAAATACTTGAAAATCACAGCTGTTTTGGTAGCCTAGTGGCACAAAGTATGCATTGCTAACCAAACCTTATGTTTCTGTGTTTAGATGGTATTATCAAAATTGATCTGGGGTTAGGGGGCAGTTTATCCCAAGGCCTTAAAGGATACGGAGTTGATGAGAGTTCTTATAGCAGGATTGACCTGAAGTATCTTCTGTGTGTGTGTGTGTGTGTGTGTGTGTGTGTGTGTGTGTGTGTGTATGTATACAAATCACTGAAAATATTTGCAGAATAGACCGTGTATTTCTACGTCCACCACTGTCTGCCAGTTTGTCGTCCTGTGCTGGCTTACGTGTCGCTGTGGTGCTGAAAGGTGTGTCAGGGACTGTGCCACGGACTGCCAAAGGGAAAACGGATCTGTCTTGGGAGAAGTCAGAGGCAAGGATAGCAAGACTTCATCCCACATACTTTGGACATGTTGTCAGGAGAGATCAGTCCCTGGAGAAGGACATCGTGCTTAGTTTTTTAAAAAAAGGTGGTGGTGTTAGGTGCTGTTGAGTTGGTTCCGACCCAAAGCAACGACCCCGCGACAACAGAACAAAACACTGCCGGTCCGTCTCCGGCCTCACAGTTGTTCCTGCGCCTGATTGTCATTGTTGCAGCCACTGTGTCGTTCCATCTCCTTGGGGCCCTTCCTCTTTTTCCGCTTCCCCTCTACTTCACCAAGCACTGTGTCTTTCTCCAGGGACTGCACTCTTCTGGCCACATGTCCAAAGGATGTGAGATGCAGTCTCCCATGGTAAAGAGGAGGGTCAGCGAAAACGAGGAAGGCCCTCAACAAGATAGAGTGGCACCGTGGCTGCAGCCACGGGCTCAGACATCAGAGCAGTTGTGTTCCCTCTGTCGTACACAGGGTTGCTGTGAGTCGGACCTGGCTCAGCAGCACCCACACAACACACTTCTGTCCCTTCTGTCAGGAAGGCCACCCTGCTGCTGCCCCTTACACCCCCACCCCGTTTAGAGGACGGGTGTTTTTGTATTTGTAGGACTGAGCGGTGGTGGCCTATTGCTCCTCTTCCCTGGGGGAGCTGATGAATCATCTTGGTCACATGGGTCCCATTCTCTCCAAAGGAGTTCGTCAGACCAGCACACATACCACATGGTCCCTGGGAGCGGCTGGAGTGTGTTTTGTTTGCATTGCTGATTTTTATTAGTAACTTCCGGTCTTCTCTTTCCCGCAGGCCCGGGTTATGTATGATTTCGCTGCTGAACCTGGAAATAACGAGCTGACGGTTAACGAGGGAGAGATCATCACCATAACGAATCCGGTACCGGCATAGGCATGCTTTTGTCAGTGGGGACCTGTGGGCGCATCCTCGGGCTTTGACTTTGTCAAGAAGTTGCACGCGCCCCCCACAGGAATGTGTCTGCCTGTAGAGCTGCTTCGGCAATGTTGCTGGTAGAGTAAGACACTATTGATAAAAACTTAGAGAAGAATAAAGTTTCCTAAATATCAACAAACCAAACTCACTGCTCTTGACGCAACGCTGTCCCACAGCGTGGCCCCGTAGCTCCACCGGGTGTCCAAGCTGCACATTTAAAAAAAAATTATTTTATTGGGGGCTCATACAATTCTCATCATAATCCATACATCCATCCATTGTGTCAAGCACATACGTACATTCGCTGCCCTCATCGTTCTCAAAACATTTGCCCTCCACCTCAGCCCCTAATGAGCAACTGATATTAATTCACAACTTATTATAGTTTTGTCATAAGTTACACTGTCCGACGTCGCCCCCCACCCTCTTCTCTGCTGTCCCTCCCCCAGGGAGGAGGCAAGACCTAGATTCTTGTAATCGGTTCCCCCTTTCCACCCCATATTCCCTCACCCTCCAGGCCTCACCCCTTTTACCACTGCTCCTGAAGGAGTCATCTGTCCTGGATTCCCTGTGTTTCCAGTTGCTATCTGTACCAATGTACATCCTCTGGTCTAGCCAGATTTGTAAGGTAGGATTGGGATCATGATAGTGGCGGGGAGGCAGCATTTAAGAACTAGAGGAAAGTTATCTGTTTCATTGTTGCTACCCTGCACCCCATTGGCTTGTCTCCTCCCCTCAACCCTTCAGTAAGGGGATGTTCAGTTGCCCACCGATAGGCTTTGAGTCTCCACTCTGCACTCATCCACCTTTACAATATTTTTGGTTCTTTGATGTCTGATAGCTGGTCCCTTCTGCACCTCGTGGTCACACAGGCTGGTGTGCTTCTTCCATGTAGGCTTTGTTGCTTCTGAGCTAGTTGGCCGCTTGTTTATCTTCAAGCCTTTAAGACCCCAGATGCTATATCTTTTGATAGCCGGGCACCATCAGCTTTCTTCACCACCTTTGCTTATGTTCATATTTTTCTTCAGCAGTCGTGTCGGGAATGTGTCAAGCGACACATCTTGATGGTCCAGTCTCAGCTTTCTCTCAGGAAGCTGCAGCTGGGTGAGAACCACCAACCTCTCATCAGCCTAGCGCTTAACCCATTGCACCACTAGGGCCCCTTCCTAAAGATAGCTGAGCACATAATCGAACTGCTTATAACTTTCCAATATGTTTCTCACACCTTTTTCTTCATTGCTTTATAAATGTAGCTCTCGCCCTTGTTAGGGAGCAGAGCGCCCTGCCCCTCATCTCCTCGGAAACGAGCCCAGTGCTGATTGGCTGCGCCTAGGGGGTTGGGTCACTGTCTCCTCAGATTAGCGCCCCGGGAGGCTGCACACTCGGAGTGCTTTTGCTAATCTTCCACTGAAGTGCTCTTGGCTGAATTCCAAGTTCTTGTGTCAGCTTTGTTCAAATGAGAAATGACTGTGTGTGTATGAGGGGGCTTTCAAAAGTTTGTAGAAAAATCGAAGGAAAAGATAAAGGAATCTTTCCATGAACTTTTTGAAGCCCCTTCCTGCAGCAAACATTTTACCTTTTTACACGTGTGTCTCCGTGTGTGTAGTGAGCCACACACTCAGGCACTCCCTCAAACGTAGGCCTTGTGTGTTTGTGTGTGTGTGCACATCTGCACAGGTGCACGCCCACATCCCTCTATGTGGATGTCTCCCTGCTCATGTCCTCTGAGTGTCCCAGTCCCGTGAGAAGCACCGTGGGATCTTTTCCTTTCGTGACACACCGTCTTCTGAGACTTTTGAATTTCTTTGTTTCTCTTTCCCAGTCTTTGTGACCAGGAAACTCAGAGACGAGTGTAATAGTTATCTTTAGGTTATCTAAGCCCACGGTACAGACTTATGTCGGTCACCTTTCCCATGGGTAGCTGTATCAGAGCCCTCCTTAAGGCTCTGCTGCACTTAAGTGGGTGAAAATTGGGGCACGAGTGTAAGTAAAGTGAGCCCGCAGAAATGGGAGCGTTAAGCAGCTACGTCCCCTTATTCCCCCCAGGATTCTGTAAGTGGGGGAGGAGCACTGGGAGGCACCGAGAGCTCACTCTCAGACCATTGGTTACACTGTGACTGCCCGCCTGCACCGTGCCGTTGATGGCCCTGCTCTCGGCCAGGGCCCCCTTGGAGAGCCCTCTGGACTTGTGCATGTTGCCGCGCTGTCTGTTTGTGACCATCCCCGTTGTTCGTCGCTGGAACACTGCATGTTGTACTGCAGCAGCAGGCACCTCTGCCCCACCCCCATGCACCGTGCTTCCCAGAGTCGTCTACAGCCTGCTTTCCTCCTGAGGGTTTCTGACGCGGTGCTGCTGTTCAGTGCCGTCGGCTCCATCCCATAGCAACCTTAACCACCGCAGAAAGATCCGCTGCCTGGCCCTGCGCCACCCTCCCAGCTCTTCTTAGTTGTGAGCCCATTGTGGCAGCCACGGTGTCAATCCCTCTCCTTGAGGATCTTCCTCTTTTTCACTGCCCCCCCCTCCCGTACCACGCTCCTCCAGCCAGCTCTTGCCCTGCAGACCAAGCAGGCCGACCTGACAGACAGGCACACAGTATGGTGCTCGTGGCCTGCTCTGCCTGCAGGCTGTCAGGGCAGACACACACTCTCACACACACACACACAATGTGGGTTCTCATGCCCCCCTCCCCTCCATCCCCTGCAGACCAAGCTGATTGACAGGCAGGCATGGGGTTTTGTGCCCTTCACTTGGTCTTGTTGTTTCCCTTCACACACACACACACACACACACACACACACACACACACACACACACACACTGTGGGCTTTTGTGTGTCCACCCCCAGTCCCCCGCCCCCTTACCTAGTGGCATTAAATTATCCATTTACCACCCAACCCTATCTCTCTCTCTCTCTCTCTCCACAAAAGAAAAAGGTGCTTCCTTGTCTGAGACGGTGTCTCCTCCAGAAAGAGCTAAGGCCTCCACAGATACCTCTGCCACCTGGGCTCCCAGGACCTGCCTGTGCCAGCCTCCCAGCTCATCTGGGGACCCTCCCCTCTTCAGTCTCCTCCCCATTGTGCAGTATGTGTGGAGAGAGAGAGAGAGAGAGGTGGCACACACATGCTTTCCTGTAAAGTGAAGAATACATACTAGAGACAGTAGATTAAGGAGCACCTTTGTCCCCATTGTCCAGGGTCAGGCAGCGTCAACCCCTGGCCATTCTGGAGCTCTGGTGGCGGAGTGATTTAGCACTCAGCTAACAAGGAGACCCCAGCTGCTCCAGGGGAGAAAGATGGGGCCGGGTGCTACCGTGAAAACTGCCAGAAACCCCCAGAGCAGTTCTACTCTGCTCTTACAGTGCCAGACTCGCTTGACAATAGAGGGTTGGCTTTTGATATGTCTACAGGTAAGTATATAAATTACACTTTTAATCTTAGGAAAGAGAAAAAAAATTGTCTTATTTAAATTTTCTCATGAGAACTTATTTTAAATTTCGTGATTTAATAAATTCTAGGAAATACTTTGGATGGAATCTCCCCCACCCAAATTTAATGGTAAATGTCTTCAAGTTATTATTAAGATCAACATTTAACAGTTGTGGCTGTAAATTATCTTGTAAAAGAACGTAGTCATCAGATTCCACTAATTACTCAACCAAGGGTGTAGATTAGAAATGGAAGAGAGACTGTTTGGGCTGAGAGAATGGGCTGGACAGGGGGAATGTGGTAGAAAGTTCTTTTTTTTTTCCTTCTTAAGTCTATCATATTTATTTATTTATTTATTTATTTGACCCTATAATCTATAGGTTCTTTTTTTTAAATCGTTTTATTGGGGGCTCATACGACTCTTATCATAATCCATACACACATCCATTGTGTAAAGCACATCTGTGCATTCATTGCCCTCGTCATTCTCATGTAGAAAGTTCTTTACCCCTGAGTTTATCCGTGTCGCCCCAGAGGCACCCAGGAGTGTGGGGTCAGTCAGAATTCACTGCCCAACAGGGGCCCAAAGCTCCTCTGTGAGTTCAGGGAGCGACTGCACGTGACCTCAGGTTTCTGCTCTGGCATCCAAGCCCTGGGTGTCCCTGCTGATACCCCGCAGCCATTGGGGCTTGAAGGGTGTCAGGTGACATCCCTCTTAAGTCTGGCAGGCATCCTGGGGGTTAGCTGACTTTAGCTAGGGTGGAGGGAGCTGGGCCTTGTGCCCCTCACCCTCTAGCAGCTCCCCTGCCCGGGAGCCAAGGGCTCCAGGGAGTTTCCTGAAGTGGGCAGAGTCCTGAGGGCAGGTGACCCAGGCACGCTACTCTGTGTCAGCCTCACGCGGGGCCAGAGGGACCTGGAGGCTGGAGTCTCTCCCTTATGTAATGAGCTCCAGAGGAGAAATGACAAAAGGGTGGCCATCTTGTTAGAGCAGGGTTCTCAACCTGTGGGTCCTCGACCCCTTTGGGGGTCAAACGACCCTTTCACAGGGGTCGCCCGATTCATCACAGTAGCAAAATGACAGTGATGAAGTAGCGATGGAAATAATGTTATGGTTGGGGTCCGCACCACATGAGGAGCTGTATGAAAGGGTCGCGGCATGAGGAAGCTTGAGAACCCCTGTCAGAGGCTCTCGTGCCAGCTTTCATCGCAGGTCGACAGGTCGAGGTTTTCCTGTTTTCAGATGATCATTTTCTGCAGTTAAGGGGAACGTGTGCTAATCAATAGCTGAATGCTCGTTGCTCTCGCATGTGCCCCAGTTCCCAAGGCACACTGTGTGCCGGCAGGTCCAGCTCTCACGTGTCACGTGTGGTGTCTTTTTCAGAACGTTGGTGGAGGATGGCTGGAGGGCAGAAACAGCAAAGGAGAGCAAGGGCTCGTTCCCACAGACTACGTCGAGGTAAGAGCCCCACCCCCTCCGTCCTCCGGAACCGCACCCCTGTCAGCCAGCTGAACAGTGGGACCTTGAAAAAATAGATAAGCCATTTTCCTCATAAACATGATAAATACCAGTGCCATAGACTGTTGGAAAGCTTCCTGGAGCGGAACGAAGAAAACATAGGACCTGTGGACCCAAGCTCCAAAGGGCGCCTGTATGAAGGTCCTTCCAGGCCCGGCAGCTTCCCGTCTTTGTAAACAGACAGAGGGCCGCTCTCCTTGGATTCCCGCCTGCATGTTCTCCTCCCGCTCACTGCCCTGCTTCCTGTGGGATCGCTGATTCCCCAAAGCAGCTTTCTGCGACCTGGGCTAATTCAGGGCCGGCTACTCAGTGCCCTCTTGCATCCCCACGGACAGGCGGCACCTTAATGAGCTGCTGTCACTCGACCAGGTCTGCCTCCCTTATGGGGGCACCTTGGCCAAGTAGAGGCCAGAGAAGATGAGAAAGGAGAGCACGCTCACGTGTACACACAGAGTTTATCCGGTTGCCCCTGGGTGACTCCCAGACGTGGTAGATGTCAAGGACAGTATTGCAGGCGTGGTGCCTGAGCAGGCCCTGTCTGGGGGCACGCCCACTCAGCCGGTGGACCTCACGGCGCCCCCTGCTGGCTGGCTGTAGGTAAGCCACCCCAGATGGATGCCTGGAACACGGGGGCCTGTGGCTCCTTCCCTGGGAGAGAAAAATGTGCTGGGGGAGGGTGTTACTCTGGCACCACTGCAGACAGGGACGACCTGTGTCTGCTGAGTGTCCGCTGAGAGTGAAGGATGGGGAGTCTTGAACTCCAGAGGGACCTGATGAGATCTGGAGGCCTTCTGGGAAATGTGTGCCCATCTTATGGCATCTGAGGGCCCCAGCCCCCAAACGCCACTCCATGCTCACACCCCGAGTTACTCTGTGTGCCATGTGATGAGTCTTCTCAGCGTGGATGGGATGGGAGGAACCTGAGGGGCTCGTTTGCTCCTGGCATGAGATCTGTGTGCCAGTCTTAGGGGGTTAATGATGCTTTGTGGCAGTGGTTCTCAACCTGTGGGTCACGACCCCTTTGGGGGTTGAATGACCCTTTCACAAGGGTCACCCAATTCATAACTAGCAAGATTACAGTGATGAAGTAGCAACGAAAATAATTTTATGGTAGGGGTGCACCACAACATGAGGTACTGTATGAAAGGGTTGCAGCATTAGGAAGGTTGAGAACCACTTCTTTTGGGGGGATGCTTATCCTTTAAGGATACGGACCCTTAATAGCTGTGGCTTACCCTCAGAGACTCAAGAGTCAGAAAGAGCCCTAATGAATGCAAACACTTGTGGCTTCTTTCCATATTCAGATGTTACCCTCTGATGGGAAAGACCCATTTTCCTGTGGAAATTCCATGGCAGACCAGGCCTTCTTTGATTCCCTATCCACAAATGCAGCACAAGCCAATTCGTCCGCTGCCAACAGTAACAACCAGGTATGTCCCTCTCGGTGGCCGCTGGTGTGGCCGGCCTTGCAGGGCTCTTGTGAATGCCTGTGGCGCCGTACAGCTCGCATCCTCCTCCAAAGGCATAAGCCAAGGACCTACTCAGATTTCGTGTGATACTCTGTTAGATATTAACCTAGAACACCCACCTGCTAACACTGCCGCCTGAAGCCTGCTTTCTAAGTTGAGAAGAGGCGGGGTCTTCATCCAGCATTGCTTCTCAAATTTTGGCATGTCCTGGACTCAGGGTGGTGAACACCCTTCCAGGGGAGGGGGGGCGGTCCTAGTGCTGAGCTGTCATTAGGACAGGGAGGCGTACTCTCTGCCTTGGGTACATTATCTAACACTCAGAGCTGCTGTCCCCTCACCTCCCAGGTCAGGAGTGACCAGCAGACTGGGGGCACTCACTACTTGCTGCTGTGATATCGCTGCTTCAGGAGAACCTGGGACCGTGGGGTCACTGGAGGAAAATACACTACTTTTACTTTTTTGATTCATCTTAAGAGTGTGAAAATTCTAGCTTCAGTGAACGCTCTCAGTTCAGTTATTGCTCAACAATAGTCCAGAGTGAGTCGGTTTGGAGAAGAACACTGAGAGGCAGGAGAGGCACACAATCTAAGATTGAGGAGGTGGGGCCCAGTCTTGTGACTCACCTGCCTCTTTAGAGATGAACGGGCTTCAGAGCAGAGCAATTCTTGATATTCTTCAGTTACGTGACGGTTTTAAATGATCTTAAATATAATAATCCTGTCACATAGAATTTTGTGCTTACAGGATGCTTCTTTTTATCCCATAGGACAGGATAGACCTGCCCCTGTGGGTTTCTCAGACTGTACCTTATTACAGGAGTAGAAAGCCTCATCTTCCTCCCACAGAGCTACTGGTAGTTTTGAACTGCTGACCTTGCTGTTAGCAACCCAACTCCGAACCCTTGGCTCACCAGGGCTCCATGATAATGTCACTGGAAGATGTGAGATTGGCTGGGTTTTACTCAGTGAAATGAACCTGCATTAAGTGCAAGGCAACATCTAGCAATAGCGCAATGAGTTGACTGTAATAAGTGAAAGAAACAAAAGATAGAAATTCCCACCTGGTTTTAGTTCAGGGTCCGTCTTCAGCCAGTGGGCTGACACAGCTCTCTGTAAAGTAAATGTCTAGATGCATGAGGAGTTTCCAAAAGTCTGTGGGAAAATTCCAGTATCGTTTAAGTCCATTTGTCCACAAACATTTTAAAGCCCCTTCGTAAATGTGAAAATAGAAACTAATTTGCATAAGCCTCAATCTTTTCCTTCCAGGTTATTTGGAAGTTAATCTAACCAATTTTTTATTTTAAAAGTTGAACTTTAACATTAAATATATAAACAAATCCTCTAAAGGAAAAAGAGTGGACAGAAACTGACCTAAACAGAAAATAGGCAGCCTGACCGTAATTAATTTGAGCGTTTAAATTAAATTTAAATAGAGTAAAAGTGGTTTTAACAGCCATCTGGGGCTCTGGTATGTTGGGTCTGAGAAAATTCCAAACAGACTAGCATGAGGGTACCAGTCAATTCTGACTTATCACGGCCCCAGTTTTACATGTCATGCACAGAAATGGCTGCAGGCTGTTCCCGGGGCTCGTTAGTAGCCTAGGAGGCGAGCCAGCAGACCCCAAGTGGTTGGAAAACGGAAAAAGCAAGTCATTGGAGCTCTCAGCATTGGTCTAAAGACTTCTCCAACCTGAGGTCTGTCTCTCTGATTCTGCAGTGTGGCCCAGCTTTGTCCTGACGTGCTAGGTAGGCTCCAGTCAACGGCCATAGGTTTCCTTTTTACTCAGCAACAAAGCTTTTGAAGGAAAGTTGTTTACAGCTACAAAGAGTCAGAATCAACTTAACGGCTGTGAGTCTGGTTTTTGGTTTGGTTTCGCCGATCCCAGCTTTTTAGGCCTGGTTTAGCCCCAGTCTTTGCCGTCCACAACCCTTTGTCCGTCACGGAGCCTTTCAGAATACACAGGAGTGAGACTTACTGTGTAGGACTTTGGTGGCTGTTTATTGCTCTTTCGTCCAAATGGAAAAAAATGACAAAAAGTAAAGCATCTTTTCATCTGGGAGCTGCTCTGATCAAGAGCCAGTCGGCACTGTTTTCCCCAAGGCCCATGCCAGCGTGTGCACCAAGAGGCCGCATCACAGGAGCTTCCTGTCTGAGTCTTTCTGGAGGCGAACAGCCAGTTGTCGTGGCATCTTCTGGCTTGATAGGTAAAGTGACTTATGTGTAGACTTTAAGCCATCAAAAGAAAGAAACTGAAAACGAATGTAAGAGTTATCCATTTATCCCAAAGCAAAATTAATTTTTATTTTACTGTAGGGTTTAGGGTTTAGAAGTAAGGATTTAGGGTTAGCAAAGGTGGCAAGATGTCACCTCACATACTGTGGAAGAGAGGCCAGTCCCTGGGGAAGGAGTCATCCTCTGTAAAGGAGAGCAAGGCCCGCGATGGATGGACCGACCCAGAGCTGCAGCCATGGCCCAGACGCCAGAACAAGGGTGCGGAGGCCGCAGGACCGGTGGGGCTCCCTTCTGTGGGGACGGCGCCTCACCACAACTGGACCGGGGAAGGAGGAGAAAGACCCCAGGCACCCTGGAATTGGTATCCGTGGGCTCCGAATGTGAATCAGTTGGCCTTTTTGGTAATCAGTGCCCAGCCAGAAGGGTGGGTGTTTGGGGCCACAGATGGGTCCAGCCTGTCTTGGGATCTCATCCCGCGTTTGAGAAAATGTACAAGTTCTGCAGACTCCTGAAGTCTGGAGGTGGGAGTGCGTGTGCTGAGGAAGAACTACAAAGAACAAGGCAGGGAGTTTTACACTTATTCTTGCATTTAAGTTGAAAGAGCTAGACTCTTTACATATGGGAATCATATACCTCCGATGGGTCTTTTTTGGGAAAGAGAATTACATCTTTGTCAGAAACACTGCCGTTTTCTTGGGTGTCGGAAGCCCCTGTTGATCGCTGTCTAGTCCCACTTCCGCCCATGGTTGCCACCTGGTTAAATAGCGAGTGAGGGCAGGTAAAGATTGTGGTTTCTCAGTCATGCAGGTGAATTTGAGGGGATTTTTTTTACCCTCTACCTTCACAAAACAGTAATTTTCCATCATCGTTGTTGTGCAGGGACTACTCGAAGAGTCTGGCCCCTAAACTTCCTCCTAACAGGTTCCTTCCTGTCCCTCTCCCCTGCTCCCTTCCAAGCAGGAGACATGGGTTGTACCGTGCGCTGACTCCTCGCCGCCCCATGCACTCCTGTCCTGGCGCTGTTCCCCCCGCCCTGCTGTGGGGAGCCCCTGTGTCCGGCCTTCAGGTCCAGAGTCTTCTGCTTTCTCACTGCCCTTCTGCTTCACCCAGCATGACATCCTCCACGGACTGCCTCTCTCCTGATCACATCTCCAAAGTACGTGAGGCGAGTCCTTGCTTCTGAGGAGCATTCTGGCTGAGCTTCTTCCGAGAGAGATTTGTGTGTTCTTCTGAGGGTCATGTAACTTTAGCATCCAGACAGTTGTTAGGGTCGTCCTTAGACCCGGTGACACAGTCCGCATGGCGACCTCTCCTCCGGGCTCGTGGGCCTGGGACTAGCCCCTCTCACCCGAAGACTTCCCACTAGATGGCCCAAGGACCCAGATGGGAAGTGGTGGCTGTGACCACTCTGCGGCATCGTGTGAGCTTTGTTGTGCCCGTTGCCCTCCTGGGTCTTGTCTTGGTGGTAGGCGAAGGGCAGCCACTTGAATGAAGTGGCACTTGGTTTCATGGGCTCGCAAAGCTGGGTCACCCTTGGAAAGCTGACCCAGGTGGTCATGGGAAATCTGATGTCTGCTGCCCATCTCCCTGGCTTCGGCCAGCCTCTCTTCCCAAGTTGTCATTCCCATGGTCTGTGCAGGAGCCTTAGTCCTTCTGGGCCCTGCTCGCCTACTGGGTGACGGCACTGGGAAACGGGGCGGGTGAGGTCACGGCGCATTTGTGGAACCTGCCATCAGAGGTGGGAAGTTGCTTTTTGCTGCTCTGCTTTCCCCGAGTGTGGTACGTGGGAGGCCAGGGAGGAGGGAGGACACCAAGAAACCACACTCCCCGCCAACAAGTCAGTGCTAACTCCGAGCCACCCTGTAGGACAGGGTAGAACTGCCCCATGAGTGTCCCAGACCCACTCTTCACGGGAGTCGAAGCCCAGTCTTGCTCCTGTGGAGCGGCTGGTGGTTCCCAGCTGTGGACCTCACAGCTAGCAGCCCAGCTCGTGCCCATGCTGCCAGCAGGCCTCCAGGGAGGCGGGAATGGGGGAGAAAATAAACTAACAAATTAATATGGAGAGGCATCCACACAGAGGGAAAGACATCATTCGCCCAGACTCGCTCACTATGAGCAGGGCTGGATTCCTCTCCTGCTCCCTGGCCCCTGTGTCCGGCGTGGGGAGGAGTGGAGCTCTGAGGCAGGCAGAGGGGACTGGCTCCAAGCAGCCCCTCCCCCTGAGACCTTAGTCCAAGGCTAAGGAACTTGGACCAAAAATAAAAAAGGCAAACCCCAGCAAGATGGTAAACCCCAGCCAACCCTTCAGCACTTGCCTGTGTCGGCAAGGAGCGCTGCTGCTTTAGAGTAACCTTGCACTGCGGCTGTCGAGGTGGGGAGATGAGAACTGTTAGATCTCTCGGGGTAGAGCTATACCTCGGTCCTTGGCTCCGGTGAGACAGAATTCACGCCGAAGCCTGGTTTGTGATCCAAGGGAGTTCTATGAGAGAAGAAGGTTCAGGTTTACACAGGCGTCCGGCAGGGCTCCTCACGAGCAGCAGCCGTCCTAGAAGCTGCTCGGAAAGTCACAAGGCTCCGGGCTCCTGCCTTTCCAGTTCTGCGGAGGCGTGGTGGATGACCCTGGTCGACCCCATTGGCTGAATTGAATTCACCTGGCCTAGGTGGGCCAATCCAGGTGCAGCACCCACCCAGGTGTACCTCCCCTTCCTGGCCGGAAACCTGAACCTCTGAGCATGCGCAGTGTACCACTCCTTGTTGGGTAGCTCAGACCTCTGGGCATGCGTAATGGATGGCTCAGCCCCTAAGCTAGACTGCCCAACAGAACTTCCGGCTAACTTAGCCCACGCTGTCCCACTGCCCACTGTGGTGTGCCGCCTGCGCTCTCTCCGGGCAGCATCCCCTGATCAGGGCCTGGGAAGTCTGCAGAATATAAATGGGGTGGCTGTCACTTTGTCGTCATGCCCCCTTCTCTGGTCTTGCTGTCCATCCTCCGTAGTCACTAGCTTGAAAGCCCTCTCAGGTAGTCTGTCAATCGTGCAGCTGCAGCGAACGAGGAAATGAGTTCCCAGCCACCTCGACTGTCTGCTTCATCTAGGAATGCTTCCCGAAACCCAGTGTGTTTTCGGCTGGAAAACGGAATGCAAACATTGAGAGTAACAGCATCCCGACTGGGCGGTGGGGACCTGGACATCGAGGCCACAGCTGGCCTCCTCCACCAGCTACAGTCTGGTCACCAAGGGGTTGTGTTGGCCTTCTGCGATAACTTGTGGGCTCATAGCCAGCAGGCACCTGCTCTGGGAGTTGGCCTTGGAGGGACTCGTGTGCCTGGGGCAGCTCGTAACTCTGAAAGCACAAGGTTCAAAGGCTTGGCCGCCCTTTGTCCCGAGTCTTTTCCCGCTGGCCTATGCTGAGCCGCTCACACCGACCTGCGTGACTTGTGTCGTGACATTGCGGACCTGGAGCACGTGGGCAAGGTGCATGTGCATGTGGTGTGTGCGCGTGAGGGGCATGCTGGAGTGGCCTGGTGAACGTTAGCCCTGCCGTGAACGCACTCTCTGTTAGTTAAAAGCTGGTGTCTGCTCTTTCTCTTCTGTTTCAAGGTGGATGCTTGGGCTCACCTTGGCTGTGTTGAAAGTCTCAGCCAGTCACCACCCTCTTCAGCCTCTCCTTCTCCTCCTTCTCCCATCAATAAGGTAAAACCCAAACTTGAACGCCACAGGAAATAGACCCCACACAGTCCTTCTTTTCCAGGCTCGGGCAGCGGCAGGTGTCCTGGGCACGCGAGCGTGGGCTAGTCAAGAATCGGAGGCCCCTTCAGGGGAGCTTCCACTGAGGCCTAGTAAACTTTTGCCCTGCACAGGGGGGTCTGAGGCTTTCCTGGGAGCAGCGGTGAGTGGGACAAGCTGAGCAGGAGGCGGTGCTCGGTGGGAAAGAGAGGAAGCAGAGAGCGGTGGAAACACTCCCTTTGCCAGGGAACAGAGCAGGTGGGACTCTGCAGAGAGTCTGCAGAGAAGAAGGCCCAAGGCCACAGGGTCAGTGAGCCAGCTCCTGGTCGACGGCTTGTTACTGCAGGGCTTAGTCAGCGGGGGAGCCACGATGCCAAGGCTTAGCACAAAGACCACGTGTCGTGAGGACCCTAGGAGCTGCCATTGGACTTTATCCAGGAAACCTTTCTCCCGCCTTCCTCTTTCCTCCGAGTATCTGAGGAAGACAGGTCTTTGGTTAGACCCGGAACTCTCGGAAGTACCTGTTGGCATTGTCTTCATTAGCTGTGGACCTGGCACTGGAGTGTGCCTGACCTCCGTGGAGCACAAACCTGCTCGCATCCCAGGCCCCGGCTGCCCGCCTGCATGTTTCTCTGCTCTGCTCCATCTGTGTCAGCAGGCAGCTAGCTGCTCCAGAGTGTGTTTCCCCATCGGCCCCCAGGAGGAGGGTAAGGTCAGTGCACCCATCGCAGCGGTGTGGAGGCCCGCGGACCTAGTTCTCACAGCCAGCTGGTGGTGACGCTGGGATTCAAACCCAGGCAGCTGCCATCCCCAAGGGATTCATTCCTGCAGTTTCATAAGTGGGTTTGAGGCCCGTCTTCTCCTGTCGCCTTTGGTCTGTGAGATGGCAGGTACCCACAGGTATGGTCTGGTGTTGTCGCCGGCTTGCTCTTGGCAGATGGCTTAGCCTGCTCCTAGAAAACTGTCTGAGGTCAGCTGCCTGGCCTGGATCCCATAGCTGGACAGCGGGAACCGGTCCAGGCCCCTCTCTGGGCGGACCTCTGCGAAACAGGTGACTGGCCTGTGTGTGCTCCTGTCACCTCAGTGTCTCAGGACGTTCCTACTCTCTGAAGTTTGTGGCCTAGAAATAAAGCCTCAGAGGCCAGAGGGCACAGAATACACCCCTGTATAAAGCGCCCTTCAAGAGACACGGAGGGATCCTGCTGTTTGTCAGGCCGTCAGCAGAGGCGTGCCCACCCTGTGCCACTCCGTCAGCTGTGAGTGAGAAGCACACCATCACTCGGACGGAGTGCTCACTGCTGTTCACAGGGAACTTGGACTAGATACGCCAGCATCTGCATTTTCTTCCCTAAAGGTGTCGGGGACACTGGGCTGACATCTTACTCCCATTGGGGTAGCACGCACTTGGAGATGGTTGTCTGCCAGCCATTGCCGGGGAATGGTGGGCAGTTTGAGTGGTGTGTTCATCTGGGTAAACTAGGGAAACAAATCCACAGAAACTCATATGTATAAGAGAGAATTTTATATAAAGGCTAAGTATACATTAAGAAAGCATCCCAACCCAGTGCTGTCCAAGCCCATAAGTCCAACATTAGCCCATATGTCTGACACTGATCTACAAAATCCTCCTCAATTTCATAAAACGCATGCAATGATGCCAACTGCAGGAGGAAAGTCGAATCAGTGAACGTGTAAACATCTGTGCTGGCAGGGGTCTCCACACAGCTGCTCCGGTACCCAGGGTTACATGGGGTAGGTCTATGTGGCTTATCATCAGGGATGTCTTGCAGGAAGTGAGCCTTGCCAGCTGAAGCAGGGAACTGACTAAGGCAGCTACACCCTGTGACCATCAGAAAGAAAGAGACCTGAGAACTAAAAAGGCGAGGCTCACCGAGCCATTTATCTCTCCGCCCTTCAGTTAATCCCACTTGTTTATTGGCCAGGTTGGCACAATAAACCTTAACTATCTCAAGTGGGTTTTTGCACATTTCTTGCTCTGATTTTACCACCATCAATTATTTACTTATTTATTTTAATATGAAGAAGACATGAATAAAAAGGAAAACTTACTAATCCATATTCTTAGATACATAGATTCGATATTGTAAATGGGTGTGGGGTGCTGTGAATTTCCCTTGAGTTTATTTGTAAATTTAAGGTGATTCCTATGAAAATACAACACGTTTGAAAACCAGCTATTCCAAGACTGAAAGTCATACTGAGTCAAAGCTTCGATGAGTCCAGAAAGAGGCCTGGATTGATAGGCCATGTACGATAAAGGGGAAACCTGGGTCATTGGTTAAATGGTGCTTGGGCCACAGACTGAAGACCAGAAAGACTCCGGCTGGGTCTCTAGGGGATCTCTTAAGGTCAGTTCCAGACAGATCAGCCAGCTAACAAAAACCTCAAGAGGTGGGTGCCTCAGGGCCCGGACACAAGCAGGACCTGACAGGGGTGACCCAGGTACAGCTGTTGAATCAGATCACAAGCCACACATCCCTTGTCCCTCCGTGTTATTTTATAACTGGAACCATGATGCTGTAAAGGGACTTCCAAAAACTTGTGGGCAGATGGGATGAAGAGATCATTGGATATCACCAGACTTTCTGCAGCCTCCTCCCTCGTACTCGGGAACGATGAGAGCCATCTTTAAATAGTCATTCGGGAGTATAGCTGCCCTATTGACAGAAGACAGAAAATAAACACAAAGCAACAAGAGCCAAGTGGTGAAGGAAGGCCCTGAGGCTCAGCGGCGGAGTCTACCCCCTGTGCCCGCAGCCCCCCAGCCGAGCGAGTGCTTTGACTTCTGGGGCTTGGTCTGTGGGGCAGGGGAAGGGAGGGCACACAAGGGAACGCGTTGCAGAGCTGTCAGCAGAGTGAGCTGAGCGCGCATCCCAGGGGCTGGGGAAGGTGCGGATGTATTTCATGTCCGTGTGCTGTGTCGTGGAGAGCGTTTCCACAAGATAACTACGGCCCAGAAAGTACCGTCGGGGCCGCTGACCTGCTTAAGAACCGGGGTCTCTGGGCCAGGGAGGGATGTGTGAAGGGCAGTGGTCTTTGAGAGCATGGCTGGGGTCTTGGAGTCTTAGGCATGTATATTTTTTTACACGGTTAACCTCTGATTCCATTTATTATTATTTTTTACTGTGTGTATTTTTCTTTTTTTTAAAATCACTTTATTGGGGGCTCGTACAACTCTTGTCACCATCCATCCATCCATTGTGTCAAGCACATCTGTACATTTGTTGCCATCATCATTTTCAAAACATTTTCTTTCTACTTGAGCCCTTGGTATCAGCTTCTCATTTTCCCTCCTCCCTCCATCATGAACCCTTGATAATTTATAATTTTTTTCCACGTCTTACACTGACCAATGTCTCCCTTCACTCACTTTTCTGTTGTCCATCTCTTGGGAGGGGGTTATATGTAGATCATTGTGATTGATTCCCCCTTTCTCCCCCCACCTTCCCCTTCTCCTCCTGGTTTTACTACTCTCAATATTGGTCCTGAGGGGTTTATCTGTCCTGGAGTCCCTGTGTTCCCAGCTCTTATCTGTACCTGTGTACATGCTCTGGTCTAGCCGGGTTTGTAAAGTAGCATTGGGGTCATGACAGTGGAGGTGGGGGGGAATCATTAAAGAACTAGAGGAAGTTATATGTTCCATTGGTGCCATACTATACCCTGACTGAGTCGTCTCCTCCCTGCGACCCTTCTGTAAGGGGATATCCAATTGCCTACAGAGGGGCTTTGGGTCTCCACTCTGCACTCCCCCTCATTCACATTGGTAGATTTTTTGTTCTGAGTCTTTGATGCCTGATACCTGATCCCATCGACACCTCATGATCACACAGGCTGGTGTGTTTCTTCCATGTGGGCTTTGTTGCTTCTCAGTTAGATGGCCCCTTGTTTACCTTCAAGCCTTTAAGAGCCCAGACGCTATATCTTTTGATAGCCAGAAACCATGAGCTTTCTTCAACCTATTTTGTCTTCAGCAATCCTGTCAGGAAGCTGAGCATCATGGAATGCCAGGTTATTAGAACAAAGTGTTCTTGCATTGAGAGAGTACTTGAGTAGAGGCCCAATATCCGTCTGCTACTTTAATACTTAACCTATAAATATGTATACATAGATCTATTTACCTATCGGTATATATAAAATATTTACATATTTAAATATGGAACCTTTGATTCCATTAATTATTATTTTTACTGTGGATGTATTACTTTTTCAAAGCAAAACTACAGCCTAGTTAAAAATACAATGGAATGGTATAAAGCAGCTGCACTGGGTGAAACGTAAGTCCCAGAGCTACACATGTAATGTCATTGTGTGGACTGATTGTAAAGCAGGAAGGACAGGGTGCAAGTGTGAAAACCTGCCCTCAGTGAGAATGGTGAGGAGAGCCAGCGCCTTCTGGGAAGGAAGGAAGGAAGGAAGGAGCGAGGGAGGGAGGGAGGGAGGACAGTGAGGGGGCCTTGTGCCTAGTCACTTCCTTGTGACGGTGTTGAAGCTTCCTGAGCAAGTATGTCCGTGTATGCTCATTAATCTCATCAAGCTGCTGAGTGTCCAGGCGGCACACAGTGCTTAGCACTCGGCCGCACTGACTGAGGGGTTGGGAGTCGTATCCCCTCGGGCACTCGGAAGAAAGGCCTGGCGATCCACGTCTGAAAAGCCGGGGAGCACGGCTCTGTCCTGGTACACCAAGGTCACTGCAGGAGATGCAGCTGCCGTTGCCCTATGTGTTGGCGAGTCTACCATTAAAACTCAAGATGGTCGGACATACAGCCCCGGTGATCCCTCTGTGGCGCTATTGTATTAAACGTTCCTGGGACTTACAAGTGCTCTTTCTCCTCTCTCCCTGAAGACACAGGTCAGTGGGGGCAGCGACCCCTGGTCTGCCTGGAGCGCATCCAAATCCGGGAACTGGGAGAACTCCGATGGCTGGGCAGCCAAGCCCGAAGGTGCTGCTGCCGCCCAGAGGAACTCCTCCAATAATTGGGACTCTGCCTTCGGCCACCCCCAGGCCTACCAAGGACCAGGTGCAAGGGGCGGGGCCAGGGGAGGTTGGGCAGGTGGGTGCTCTGGCTAAAAACCAATCCACCGCTATTGCCCCAGAGAAGCACACCTGTTTTTCTCGATCCAGATGCAGGTAGCTGTGCACTGTGCCCCCAGTCCAGGCTCTCCCATGCCCCCTCACCTGCAGGGGCCTGCTCCCCCATAAAGAACTGTGGGAAGGACCAGCCCCGCCCGCTGGTGCACTGCTGCCATCCCCAGAGAGAGAGAGTGAGCTCAGCTCCCTGGAGCCCAGGCTCACAGAACGAGCTAGACATTTGTTTCTTTAACGTGTGACTGTGAACGGGGAAGGTTCCCAGTGCCCTTTGTTTCTGCATGAACGGCCAGCCCCACAAGCTAGCACCCTCATCCCGCTGCCTCCGACACTCCGCCTTTCCCTGCCTCCCTGCCTCCCGGACTTCCTTCCTGGGCTGATGCCGCCGTCGCCCACCTTTGCTTGGCAACCTCGCATCAGAGGAGGCATTAGACAGGTGGAAAATGAATCCTCACTTATAAACGAGCAGTGTTATCATTTCCTGTTTGGCTCTCGGGGAAAAGCGGGGCCAGCAGAAGGGGAGGCCGCTGAGCAGAGAGCTCTGCCATGGCTTGCCACCTCTCCCTGCATCCTGCCACCTCTGTCAGCACATTGCGTGCTGACAGGGCAAAGGGCCACGGGCCCCAGGGTCAGGCAGCAGACACAAAGACTAAGCAGTGGCTTTTCGTCGGTGGCCCAGGCCCTCCTGACCCTGAGCTTCCTGTCTCAGCTGCTCCTCCAGGGTGGCAGCCTTTGTGTCTGTGCTGCCCCATGGTCATGAGCCCTCCAGCCCCTCCGAGGGGGAGACAGGCGGCAGGGGCGGTAGCAGGAGGAGGGAAGGGGACAGAGCCACAAGAGCTGCTGATGCTTCTCTCCCTCCACCTTCCTCCCCACCGCCCATCTCTCACCTGTTCTGGGGTCACACCTCCTGTGCAGTCACCTGTTATCCATCTTGTCCTCCTGGGCCAGTTGGCTGAAGAGGGATGGATTCTGCTTGTAGGTGGGTGTCTGAGGCTCAGTAGGTCAGCACACCCCTACTGTCCTCTGAGGGTTGTCTTCGTCTGCTTGTCTCTGTTGGCCCTGGGGCTTGTTTCCGAGCCCAGTCCGGTCTTCACTGGCCTCCTGTTCCTTCTTCATGTGCAAAGAGCCTAGCTCGCCTGCTGACAGTCACAAAGCTTTGGCCATTGGTCTTCCAGCGATTTTACCTTGACTGATTCTTCCAGAACACAAGGAAACACATTTTGCTGACCCTCCAGTTCACCAGGCCTCGGGTAGGTTTTACTACTTAATCTTCACAGCCATCCTGAGATGTGGGCAAGCTGAGCCCTAGAGAGATCATTGGGTCATTTGCCTGACACACTGAGAACTGAAAGGCCAAAGCAAGAACCCCAAACACAAACTGTTTGCTTCCAGCCTCTGCCGTGGTCCTCTCCTCTGGCCTCTCCTCCGGCCTCTGCCGTGGTCCTCTCCTCCGGCCTCTCCTCTGGGCCTCTCCTCGAGCCTCTGCTCTGACTGCCACTCTGGCCTTTCCCGGTCTTCTTTCTAAACAGGCCCTTAGCCCAAATGGGTTGTTATGGCCAAGAGAATAGGAACTTGAGTTTTATTCTGTCTGTCTGTCTGTCTGTCTGTCTCTGCTCTAGCCACTGGCGATGAGGACGAGTGGGATGAGGACTGGGATGACCCCAAGTCGGCGTCACCTTACTTCAAGGACCCAGAGTCCACCGAGGCAGGGGCTGCTCAGCGAGGCCGGCCGGGGACCTCGTCCATGAAGCTGCCGCTGAACAAGTGCGTTTGAGACTGGAG